CTTTCATCTAACCTGCAAGGATTCTGTGAAGGCTGGGGGGAGTTTGCTAAGTAAATAAACTGTCTTCATTGCACCAGAAATTAAAGGCGCGACACAGGAGTGAAGAAGGGGGAAAGAAATATGGGAGCCTGACACTTTTATTGCACTTGCTTTTAGCTGGAGCAGAAAAAAAGTTCCTTCAGGCAACAAGAACACCTGCCTTGCAGAAAGCCAGTCACCACATGATTTACTCCAGAGCAATCCACAAAAAAGTGCTCCAAGAAGTTTCCCAGGAATAACTGAGGACCACATGCCAATCAAACTGGTGAGACCATTCACTGAACCAAGCCTTTACACAGCATGGTTCTCAAATAGCTCCCATCTCTAATCCTGCGCTCTGCACAAACAAACAGATACGAACAGCTAGTCAAGTCATAGTACCTTGCATATACTTCAGTATTTACATAAAGGCAGAAAGGAGTCTCTCTATAAAATGCACCGAATCACGGAGTAGCCAGATTTTGAAACAGTAGGTGCTCCAAGAAGGACACAAAACAGATGGTAAATCTGGGTGACTCAACATGACAATATAAACCATTCACCACTGAAGTGTAAAGGCAAGTGAAGATCTGAGATTTCTCTCATCCATCCATACATGGTGTTAAAGCCCTTAGAAAATGTTGTAAGGAACAGGCAAATAGCCCAGCCCTTTGATCATTATTAGGCTGTCACCAAGACTACAATTTTTAAGTCTTTTAAGGAGGCAGAAAATTCATTCAAAATAGTAACTTAGGTTCAACTACAAACAGGAATTTGGGTGTTAAGATTACCTGAAGAGACAAGCAAAATGCCCTGCAGCTTTCAAAGCACTGTCACATTAGAAGCACTGGGTTGACTGCTGTATTTGAGCCTTCCAAATAATACGTATTTTTTGAGAGCAATATGAGGAGTGATACAGGGACAAAAGTTTCCTTGATTTTTTCTTACTCTCTGAACAAGCCTGGTATTACTGTTTCTCTTTCTCATTTGCAAAAAACTGCTTTATTCAAAAAACAGTTTTGAGCTAGTTAAAAAAAAATTACAGAGACCTGACTAATGTACTCCTTTAACAGGAATATATGGGAAAAGTGTCCAAAGCAACCAACTAAAAATCATTAACATTTTGCATTAACAGAAGGTAACAGAAGGTAATAAATTAAAAGATTTATTACCCACACAATGAAAAAGAGAACAAAAACGTCAAAAAAGAAATCACTCCTTGGAACACTCTTCAGCATAATACGTAACAGAAGAAAGCATTATTGTTCCCTAAAATACTCAAAATAATTTAATCATTTCATCAGCTGCTTTCTAAATACCGTTTTAAAAACATCAGAGATCAGTTAAGCAACGTATGAAAAACATGAGTTGCATTCTAGGATACTGTAGAGGTAAAACTGAGAAGAGATTACCACCTGAAAAGCTAAGAAGTTTATTACAGCACATTCTCATATTTACAACTACTCTTAATTTATTAGGAAAGAAGTTCTGTCCGTAAATGTCCCTGTTCTGATGCCCTTATCAATTTTTTAACCCATTTCTAATTTCAACTAGATCCAGCAGGTTACAGCTTCCAAAGATACACAATCTCTTAAAAAATACTAATGGACAAGTACCAGGAGCCCTTCTAACTCCTACTTTTCCCTTAAAAAAATCTGCAGCATTAACTCAACCGTATTAGACACCGTTAGGTGCTAAACATAGCCAGTAACCAAGGCACAAAGCAGCTTCAAATCAGTGCTTATACTTTATTAGACACCAGAAAACCTAACTGCTCCAGCTTACAGATCTATTGGAGTACAGACTTTACTGGTGGCATTGCTAATTGGGGTGGGAGGGAAATGAAGCTTAGCTGCTACAAGTGATTTTCTGTCAAGTCTAACTGCCCATTAAGGAAGAATATTAGCTGGCTGCTTGTTAACTACAGATCCAGAGCTGTTCCAGTATCCAGCTCAACCACAATTTCTCTGTAGTCTTGAAGCCATGCAGGAGCATCCCATTTGTACACCGCAACTGTGCTGAAGTCAGCTGCTCATTTACATGTTGCCACCCGATTTCATCGCTCCATTGCTTATACACTCCTCACAGATTTCACAAATTAATTTTTCATGCTGTCTCCCCTAATGCAGAGTGCTACCAGAGATCAGGAAGAGTGTTTTAGAGTATTTCACATTTCACCATTCTGAAAAGTTCTAAAACACATGCCAGCAAGAGCCATCTGAAAATTCCCCTGGAACACTTGCATGATAGGGATACTTTCCCAAGTCACAGCTTACATGTGTTCAAGGTAATTTCCAACATTTTCCAGAGATTCATGTTTCACATTCACATGCTACTACTTAGGCTCCACATTAAGCAGTATTTCCTAGCCTTCCATAATACCCTCCCCTCACTCATAAATGTCCAGATATACAACTGTAGGACAACATAACAAATGAGAACAGAATTAAAGTTCTACCTTAAGGAGCTGAGATTGCCCAATTTTATGCCTTAACCTTCCCCTAGCTATCAGGAATGAAGCTCTGGACAAATAGGTAAAAACCTTTTACTTGTCAGTAATTTCTGCAAAGCGACTTTGGTAGTCCAGTCTTTCCATTCTTCCTGCAGCTCCATGCAAAGAGTACAAAGCAATGTATTTCACCTTGTCCTTTTAACAAAGGTTTCCTACCACAAGCACAAAAGGTTTGCAAGCTCATGATGTCTAGGCAGTTAAACCAATTTTAACCAAAGTAATAAAGAGTACATAAGCTGAAGAATACACCATCATATTTTTACTAGTGTTAAGACTATGAAAATACCTCCTCTTCAAACTACAGCTTCTCTGAAGCACTGTTTGAAAAGTCTTTTCATTTTTCACCAAAAAAGCTGAAATCAAAGCGTGAGACAGGTAATTTACCCAAATGCCATACCAGTAATTCAAAAGATTATGTAAAGTGATACTAAGATCTAAAGAATGCTTCTCTTGATTAGCAGTTTACATTTGCTGGCAATCTCTGCATTATTATTATCACACTTTTAACGTGGGCTCCAAAAGAGGTAATTCCACTTGATGAATAAACCTCAGTTCCAAGCCAGCACAAAACTAAATTTGGGGGAGAACAAACAAACAAACAAAAAAACCTATCCAAATCGCATTTCAATCTTCAACAGTCAATTTTGATCACAAATATATTTATGATCATAAACATCTTGTTATTTGTTCAAATGCTATTTACTTCACAACTGCTATCTTTATCTGAACTCGGCAAGAGGGGGTCACATACCTCTTTCAAGGCTGAAATTGCTGAAGTAGCTACTAAGAAGAAAACTACTCAAGTCACATGCACCTCTGCAATCTCTTACAGCCATCCACCAGGATAAATAACATTCTTTTGCCCCATAAAATTAATACTCATTTGTGAAAGATTTCTTCACTTACTGCCCTGTAACAGAAGCCTAAACCCCACAGATTTTCCTGACCTCCATAAAGCAAGAAACATCAGTTTCTAGCAAGGAGAAAGAAAAGGAAAGCCACCCATGTGCAAGAGTGGATCAAGGAAACTAAACAACACAAGACTGTATTCATAAAATCACAGCAGGGTTTGGGTTGGAAGGGACCTTAAAGCTCATCTAGTTCCAACCCCCCTGCCATAAGCAGGGACATCTTCCACTAGACCAGGTTGCTCCAAGTCCCATCCAGTCTGGCCTCTAACACTGCCAGGGATGGGGCAGCCACAGCTTCTATGGGCAAAACAGTATTAGAACAATAATTTTATAGTCTCAAAAAAAAAAAGTGATCAAGAAGTGTCACTGTCATCAGTAAATGCCATTTAGAGAAAACTCAGTTTAAGCAGCAAAACCCAACAATTCCTGAAACAACCCATCAACTCACCTCATGCTGCTGACAATCAACTTATGGACCTGGCTCAGGAGTTGGCACCAATTCTTCATAAAGTCCATGCAAGAAATTAAACTGGAACATGTGTTACCATTGCTTTCAAAAGAATGCCTTTTTCCAGTTTTCAATTAAAACTGCTTTTCTAAACTAACACCTAAAATCCCATTCATTCTTTCAGGGATCAATAATAGAGGTCTGGCAAACCGAGGCAGTAGTCTTTCTTCAATCAAAAACAAAATAGAACAAACAAACAAACAAAACCCACCAAAAAAAAAAAAAGAAGAAGAAAAAGAGCTGGAAAAGGCTTTTTGTCAGTGCTACCTGGTTAAATCCCAATGCCCTGCAAACAGGACTGGAGAAATGAAATCCAGCTTACAACACACCACTGCTGATGGAACCAGTCTGATTTTCAGAAGTTGACGGAAAACTGTTACCCATCTTCCTCACTGTAAAAGCAAGGGACCATAAACACCCCAGAACCTATGCTTTTTGTTCTCATTTCTCATTTATAAAATCAACATTGTTTTCTGGTTTACAAAAGGGACACATTTTTTGATCTATCTCCCTCCCTTAAACTGTTCTAAACTAACAAAGCATCTCTCACAAGCAACAGATTTAGCTCTGCCTGAAGAACAACTTTAGCAAGATTTTCTCCCAGATTCCCTGATCAGAATACCTCCTCATTCTCAAGGCATCCCATAACAGAGAAAGAGTTGCAACATAAGCCACAGAGGGTGGACAGAAGGTGGAAAGAAGAAAGCAAGTCTTTCAGGTTAAACAAGATAGCTCTTCTGGGACAGGAAAAAGGGAGCTGTCAACAGCCAGGATTTTACTGCCTGGCTATGAAACAATTAGGAGGAGCTGGCATCTGGTCAAGAAGATGTAAAGGATTACATGAAGTAAGTTAGGTAGCTCAAATGCTCAAGGAATCTTAAAAGGAACAGAAAGAGGAAAAAAATTAACGCTGTCTGTTTTATGAAATTCTGTTAGTACTGGGGATTAAGAACCTCTAAAATCACTGTGTTTCCTGGCATTCTGGAGTCAGTCAGAAAAGTCACTCAATATTCATACAATTACGTTAAGTACAATATAAACAAGAAGAAAATGGTTTCAGATATCTTTATTTTTTAATAACACAAAGGCAGGAGCTATTGCTCTAAAGACGTATCAAGAACCCAGGATTCCAACTGCAGAACTACGAGCATGATAGTAACACACTAACACAATGGTAATAGACAAGAAGTATCAAAATACTGACTGTAGAACAGCAACAAGCTTTCTGGCTTGTTTGGGGTTCTTTTCCTTATTGTGATGTGGGGGTTAAAGTCATTTTAGCAACTGAGACAATAACATTAGAAACAGTTCTCAGTGCTCCTATTAAGTATTTGTTGGTCTTAAATTACCTTATTCTACAGAACAAAATGATCAACAGCTCTGGCTGAGGCAAGTACACCTTTTAAGTAAGGCAAAAAAAGATAACCAGACTTTCAACAGGGGAGAAGTTAGAAAAACAGGTATTTTCAACTAAAAGCACTGCTGGCACAGATCTCTCCCACAGACAGCAATAATTTATTTCCGAGACTCGCGTATCTCCAGCTTCTAACTTCTAGGTTACTCATGTTCAGCACACAATCCATGCCTATGCCTGTAACAACTACTCAGTTTTAAGGTCATCACAAACATATTTCCACATACTAAAAAAAAAGTATTGAATTTGATACATTAAAGTGATTTCTCTTTAAACTTCAAAGTTCACAAGTGTTACTGTGGTTGCATAGTTTAACACATACATCTGACTGTCAGTTTTCTAAAAATACCAGGTTATAAATTTAGCATTTTACTCAATAACCACAGAAGCATCAAGACAAAGAAGTTGGATATTCACAGGGAATAAAAACAGGGTATTAAAAAGCCATCCAATAGACCCCAAATTTTAAAAAGTCCAGTGAAAATGGCTCACTACATAAGTATGTACTTAAACAGCACCATCTGAACAATTATTTTTAGAATGTACTAAGACTGCAATGCATTCCAGCACAGTAAGAAGTCACAACTGCCATGAAGCAGTAGCCTCAGGGCTATGTTAAGACTGCTCAACAATTTAAACAGGCTGGTGCATTTAATGAGAGATCTAGGCATTAGTTAAAAAACAATGTTTTGTGGTAACTGATTTAGGAAATTAACTGGATTCAAGCACAAGCATCTGACTAGTTTACTCCAACTGCCAGAAGCAGAAAACACGAAAACAAAAGTGCACTTTACCAGTGGGCTCAGGTCAACCTCCTGCCATGTCTTCCCACACTCAGCTTCAGAACAAAGCTTTCCCCTTTCCTAATCTGAACATTAGAAGTCAATCCTATTCTTCAAAACTAATTTCCTATGGCAAAAAGAGCAAAAAGTACACAGGCATGTGTGTGTGTGTTGCTCACTACTGCCAAACATAAGGTTTTTATTTAAGATCTTGCAAGACCGTTTGAGTACAGAATCCCTTAGAGGAGGGAAATTAAAAGCTTTCTGCTTTCTAACAAATAACTTTTCACTCTTAAAGCAAAATCTAAGTTTTTCCCACTTTCACAGCTCTCAACACTTTCAACATACCTTCTCTTGACACAAACCCACAGGAAACCTCAGAAGATGCAGTACTTCCCATATTGCCCATTATGTCATTTTTGGCTCACTTGTTTTTAAGTAAACTTGGAGAGTTTGAGGCCTAATTAAATACCATTTTCACAAGAAGCTTTTTATTTTTTATAATAATTTAAATGGACTATAAGCAGAAAAGGCTTTACAGATACAACACTGAACCACAGGAGAACCCTGTTTCACAGATCCATAGCGCATCTCCTATGTAGGAGACAGCATGCTCTGAGCGCATTAGACCTGTACACTCTTAAACTTGGATTTATTGACTGGATCTTCAGATAGGAAGATGCCAGGTTTAGGCTTTATAAAAGACATCTTTATGACATGGTAACAGAAGGACCGTGGAAGGGCAAACAAATCTCTTAAGGAATGATGCATTGGAAGTAATTTTCTGCCTAGGCCTTCATTTCTAGGGCGGCTCTGTGTGATGGAAAAAGGAGTCATTTCTTTCCCAATCCCATTTTTGTCAGAAGATCCTGCTTAAGGAAGGCCAAGATCCAAACCCAGTCATCTTCCAGCAACATAAATGGCTCTCAAGATCTTCTGCTGAAGGCTTGTGATGCAGTATAAAGGTTAGAAGGTGTCCTGAAGCAATTTGGAGGGAATGAAGAGGGAGAGAAGAGTCACAAGATGCACCAAAGTAATAATGCATGTAACATAGTTCCAAATGACTTCAATTCAGCATGAAAGGGGAACTGGCAAAATGTCGTTAGAATCTCACTGCCAGTTTTCAAGTGATACCTTTTGCTAAAAATCAAAAGGAAATTTAGAATAAACTTCCTGTACCAGCAACGACACAGCTGGAGAAAGAAAGCTCTGACTGCAGGCTACCAATGTTTGCAAGGAAGAGGCTGTTGCTCTGCACAGCAATGAAGCAAGAAAGGCAGAATTTACCTGAGCTGATTCTACTGATTCCCCTTCTCTGAGGGGGATTGGGCCAGAGGGATTGCTGATCATGTGGGTTAGCAGCACATCCCCTTTAATCACGGTGTTTCAGTCTATTCATATGGACAAAGAAACAGGACTTAACCCACCAGCCACAGGCTCCACTGAAGCAAGAACATATTTAACATGTTTAGAACTGGGGAACTTTTGCAGTGCTGGGAATCAAGTTGGATTTCAAACCCATTTGGCAGCCTCCACCTTTTTGCACATTCAAACCTAGCACTAGTGTGAAGAGACAGGGAGGAGATGAAACCTGTGTGGCTAAGGGCCATGTACAACCACTGGCCTTACCTTGGCCCCAGCCACCATTTTCTGCTCTTGACTTTGTTTCCTGTCTAGAAAAGGGCCAGACAAAGATGTCATTAGTCCTTCAAAGAACTGAAGTACAAATATGACCCACAGACAGGAAGCTTATACAGAGGCATAAAAAGCATTCTTTCCATGTGCTCAGGATATGTTTTTCTCCTCTCTCTCCCCCACGTTTTCTCATTAAACTGCTCATACTCTTTCCCTCTCTCAGCTTAGAGAAGTGGAAGACAACATAAACAGGAAAAAAAAGCATAGAGAAACAGCGTAAAGTCCATCCTTCACACCTGAGTGGATGGTGGTTCAAAGGGGCCCTACCTACCTGCAACCCTGTTGTTTGCTTCAAGAACTCTGTTTGCCCAAGGAAAAAGAGACGAGCAAATCCTGGAAGCAGATCCTTCCCCAAAGGAAGTTTCTTTCTGAGTCTGCAACCTGGAGCTTTTGCTTGAGACTCAGTCCTCTGAGTGGATTCTTTCTTCAAACTCTCACACTGGTTCTTTACTTTTGTGGGCAGCTGGAAAAAGAATGAAGCCGTAGGCTGAGGCAGGGACTCCATACTTCCAGGATAGGGAGGCAGAAAGACTGGAGGGGAAGGAAAAGTGCTAGTTGGTAACTTCTTGAATAGTGATCTGTATTCCCTCATTTCCTGCCACACAGAGACACACACATAGTCACTGCAATAGGGGAGGATGACAAGAGATGAGTACTAGACATGCAGTTGTTTCATGCTTTGATGCCAAAAAAAACAAAGTGTTGAGCTGTGAACTTTCAAGACTTTTAAGACATCTACCAATAGATGAGAGCAATCGTTAAGATTTTTTGTCCAGAAAGTTCTCTGTTTGTTACAAGTAGATGTAGGTGGGGAGGGGAATTAAGTGCTCATTTCTTTAAAAAAAAAAATTTCAAATCTCTCCTCTGTTCACTTTCTCTCAAGTGAATTAAAAATGGCATCTATTGGAATGCAGTGAACTTCTCCCCATAATCTCCTTAAGAAGAAATGATCATACTTACCTGAATGTTTCCCTTACCAATGACTTCCTAATCCCACCCCCAACTCTTCTGTAAAGGCCTTACTCCAATTTCAGGTCTTCTACTCTAGTCAAAAAATCAGATTGATTAAACACCAACAGCAGTTTAATGCTCTTGTGACAACTCTGACCTAACCTAGGCACATTATCATTGCTGTGGAAGCTAAGAACCTACCCAAGTTCCTGGATCAAGTTTCTGGAATATTCCTCATTTTTCTATATCATCCTAGTAGCTAATTGTCATTACCTGAACAATGAAAATATAATGCCCAAGAGCTGAAATTTTCTTCACAGATCCCAAAAGCTGATAGATTCATGTGAAATTTTATCAGTAGCATAGAGCCAACATGCAACAAAAAAGAGCTACAAGTCACTGGACCCAAAACACAATTATACGCATAGCCTCTCATGTATGTGTTTACTTATTATTACCTATTACAATACCTTATGCACAACAGCAGCAGTGGCCAGTGTTTGCATGTAGGGTAGCTGTTGAGGTGTATGCATCATATGAGGCACTATCATTTTGCCTTCATTGCTCTGAAGACACCAGTTAGAGTATGATCCAGTAGTTAACCAAAAAGGTATGTTCCTCATTATGCAATTTCACTCAATTCATTTAGGGGCAATTTTGATGGGGTTTCTTCATCCTCTCCTTTAGAGCACACACCTAAACAAAACAGTCTTGGGTATCTTGCATGTCCTTTAATTATCAGCATTTGCCTCCTCAAAAACAACTTTCCTTCCTTGTGGTTCAAATAATAAAATGAGACATTTGGGAGGAAAAAAGCTAGATTGTCATTAAAACCACAGCAATAATAGTTTTTTTTAAACTATTCTTTCTTTTAAACTATTTCTTTCTTTTTAATTTCTGCTGTCAGAGTAGTAGGTAGGAAAATTTCCTTTTTTTTTTTCCCAAACAGGTGATGGAAAAAGCCTTCAAGGACAGAACCTGATATCCCACAGTAATTAAAACAGAAAAATCAGCAAGTTTCTTCCAAAGAAACTGCTTGGGCATGCAGAAATATATTCCGCTTCTTGGTTCCTCTGGGGACACTGCGTATGGTGACAGTGCTTCAATCTAAGGTAAGAAGTTTTGCTCTAAATAGCGAGATTTTATAGAAATAGGATTATTTGTTTTAATGGAATTCCATGACTTTTCAACAACATGAGACCTTTCAATTTGACGAAACACTGCCTTTTGGATTCAGATCAACTTTCAACAGTTAAAGAAAGGTCTGAGTCAGGTTCTGTCTCTTCACCCCACATGCATGTTTTTGTGAAGGAAGATCTTCCTGTTTGGAGAATTAACTGACCAACACACATTTAAATGTACTTGGCCAACAGATGTCTCCAGCATGATGTTTTATACTCCCCTTTTCTAGTAATGTTGGGGATAAACGATAAAAAAAGAAAATATAAGAAACAGAACATGTTCAAGGTAAATTTCTACTGCTCTGTACTCAGTGGCTAAGGAACTATTATAAAGTGAGAGTACAATTAAAAGCACATTTCATCTTAACATTCATGTGAATGGAGGATTCTTTTTATCAAATAACTTGCAATATCTTGAATCTCATGGACTAACATTTGTTACTTACAATTCATAACTACAATGCCATATACAGCATTATAGGCTTCATTTCAGGTGTTATGTTGAAGCCTACAGATACTGCTAACACTTCCAGTCAGTATTCTTTTCCAGCTCAAAACAAAGTATCTGAGGTAACTGAGCAAAACAACCCCCCCAGATGAAGCAGCATGATCCAGGACCATGATCTGTAATATCAAAGGCTGCCTTTGAGAAATCCTCTTTTACCAGGCAAAGATAAGATCCTGTTCACTGGAAAAAGTATCCAGATCACCTACTGAAGTCTCTGGGGTGCAGATGAGAGGTTATTTGGTCTTATTCCTTTCATGTAGCAGTTCAGTAGAACAGACAAAGATCCAATGTCAAATTGCAAGGAAAAAAAAATAAAATCATAATGTCTTTGTCTATTGTCATTTTCCTCATGGAAATAGCTGAACAACAAAACAGTTTCTGAAAGATCAATCTCTAACATCCTGTTAGGAATAACGTGGTTTTAAATTCCTTCCCTTACATCAAGATCATAGCATCGCTCCTTTTTCAAGAGAGAACCCTTTACTTCTAATTTTTATCCTTTCATACATCTTTCTTCCCTTAAAAAGAGTTGTTTTGAACTCTGAAGAAAGAGGTTGGTAATTTTTGTGTTCTAACTATCAAAAATACTAGCCTGATTCCTACATAGACATGTATTTCAGGCTGAAACAATTACATTTTTCTGCATTCTGAGATGAGTAATGCTAATAGATACTCCTTTACCTTTCTTTTAAATCTTTAGAAAAGTGAAGCGGTCTAGGATAGGCCTTCTAAAGTACTCAAATCCCTCTTACAGGAGAAGCTGTTTGGTGCCTCACAATCAGCAGAAATGATTCACTCTACTGAGATGGCATGTTGGCCCAGCTCAAGGAGCTGAATATACAACAGCTTCTCAGTCACTGAATTGTAGAGTTTGCCGATTTACCTCAAGTGCAGGCTATGATGAGATTCTTCTAATTGGAGCAGTAGAAATTACAGCTGTGATGACACAAGAACAATGTATGTTGATGATCTTCAGCTATAGATGAAGTCAGGAAAGGCACTGGTAGCTCTATGTGTGAACACACAGAAGACAGTAAGGAATCCTATAATTGATGTTCTCATCTCCTTCGGGCAAATAAAGGAATCTTTGCAATGTATTTTCACAGTGACCCAAGTGTTGGGAGTAAAACTCCCTATAGTGCTTTCTTCTGCCTTCTTTTTCTATATAGCAGGTTTCATGACCACCAATTCAAAAGCCAGTGAGAATACTGATCCCTGTTCTTCTGCATCAGTAAGCAGAAGCTCAATAGCCAGTAAAGAAAAGTTTAAACAAGTGTAAATTCTACATAATACCATCAGCAAAATAAGTAAATACTGAATCTATGTAATTGGTAAGCAGTATGGAACATAAGCAACAATATTTTTTTTATTTCTAACACTGCAGCTCCAACAGCTGCAGGATCCAAGTGAAAGAACATGGAAACCACATGCAACCTGCCACAGCAGATTCAGGTTACCAGCAGGTAGAGCAACTGTTTCTCAACCCAAACTGAAAATTTAAAGCATCATGCAGTTATTTTAAAATGCAACCAGCAATATGGAATATTTGCAGTTCCTAAAGTAAAACTGCTTCTAGGTTAAATAGCTGTTGCCCTGCTGCCAGTAGTCATACCTCTCGAAACATGTGCAGGCTGCAAACCCACTGCAGGATCTATGCACCAGCATTCAGTTGAACTGTTATTCAAAATAAATATCACAAGAACAACAAATTTTAGTAAAGCACCTTTTTCCTGCAAACTAGCACCAACATGACAGGCATATTACAATACCAACAGGAGCGATGTAAGGCTGACTTGAAATTCCACACTACCAAAACTGTAAAAAAATATTAGTTTCCCAAAACTTCCTTTTTTTGGGGGGGGGGGAGGGGGGGGGGTGGTGGGGAGCAGGCAGAAGGGGGAGTGAAAGGGCAGAGAGTACTTGATAGGATAGCAGGGAAGAAGTCACTGAGCATTCATTTCATATTAGGAAAAATTTCTTGACTGGTAAGGTGTTGAGGCACTGGCACAGGTTGCCCAGAGAAGCTGTGGCTGCCCCATCCCTGGCAATGTTCAAGGCCAGGCTGGAAAGGGCTTGGAGCAACCTGGTCCAGTGGAAGGTGCCCCTGCCTGTGGCAAGGGGTTGGAACTGGATGACCTTTAAGGTCCCTTCCAACCCAAACCATTCACGTCTATGATTACAACAGCTACACTAGATAATGTTATCAAGTCCCAAAATGCAGAAAAGGCATCAAAAGCATTGATCAAAGTGTTGACGTTAAAAGAGTAAGTTTCATACAACCCATCATTAAAAGCTAAACTTGCAGAGAAACAGAATGGTAGGAATCTTTCTGAATTTCAGACTTGGCATGTGGCCTCTCTCCAGAGTGTTTTGTGCTCAACTTATTTAAAGGCCTATGAAAAAACAGAGAGGGCCATGGCACATGTCTAGATTATCAGACAAGGTGTCAGACAATACCTGCTCGAGACTGGCATATGTACCAGTTCCTGAAAGGCCTTTCCTAGGAGTGATAAACAGCTATGGCTTTTCTGAACTCAGCATGACAGAGAATTCCAAAACTGTATGTAGCTGTCACAGCAACGCACACTTGAGAAACACAGCCAGTGTTTCTTGGCACATACACAACAGCAGGAAAACATATGGGGTATGAAACTGAATGTTAATTATAAAAAACACTACCTTGTAAAAATAATTCCCATTAATAGATGCATCAATTTTATAAAATTTAAGAAATGGGTATATTTGTTAAATAATGTTATAATTATTTTTTCATTTTTAAAACTTCACATCACAAGCATATTTCTGGATGTCTTTATTAACATGCTTTTTGTTTCTTGTTGGCTTTGTGTGCCAAGTACAGTTGAGAGCAAACCTTTTTCTGGCCTAACTAAACCACATGTTAAATCACATTAACAGACTTTACTGGCACCAATATACAATTCTGCCATAAAGACAGACCTTCATTCAACCTTAAAGAGTTGAATGAGTACATGAGCTAGTATTTAAAAATATTTTCTATTAAAAAAAAAAGTCAATGTTTTTAAGACATCATATGAATGGCTTGCTTTTGTTTGCTTTTTTCCTCCTTAAGTCTACTATAGCAAAGGTTACAGTATTTATGTATACCTTGAACTTACTTGAAGAAGTTACATAAAATCTGTAGTGTCTTTACTTTCCTTTTTGGCTCTTAATGACTGAATTAAATAGGCAAGCCATGCATTTACATGTAATTAGCTTTCATAAACTTTTTTTTAATTTTTTTTTAAAGCATCATTTTTCTTACCAAGTTCTCAATCTTCACATAATTCCTACACTTCTCTGGTCAAGGTCTTTCAACCAGTTTATCTGCAGAACCTGGAAGCTGAGATACCACACATAAACAGTGTTAAGAGGAGTGACTGCCATACTGTTCAGCAGCCACACCAGACTGGATGCCTGTAATTTGGGGGATTTTGCAGGGGTGACATAAAGGTCCAAACTACATTTTCATTTGAGAGTAGCTCAAAGCATTTTTCTGCAGGTTTTGACCCTTGACCATCTCCTTAATGGCTTTTCTGGAGAACTCATACAGTAAAAATGCCTGTTTCATGCAATTATTACTCATTTTACTTATATCTATTTAATACTACTCAATATTTTACTTGTATCTACTTAATAAGATTAATTTTAGTGAAGAGCAACATGGATAACTGGAAAATAAGAGCTAAGCAAATTGGTTGCCTTTTTAAAGTCAGCAGTTTTAAGTTCTGCTTTGGAAAGTACTCAAAATGTGCATTTCAGAATTGAGCACTTAATACGTTATTTTCCATAGCAAATACCAATTTCTTTTGCTAAGTGAACTCCCTGACTCTAGAACTTACAAATTTAGCATGCAACCTGACCAAAAGACTTGATTCTTTCCTTGTTTTCAGTAGTAATAAGAACTCTACAGCTAAAACTGAACTGAGTTTTCTAGTAACTGTTACCACCAAGACACAAAGGGATGTCAAATGCTATTGTAAGCTGTTAGCTTTCCAGCACCACAAAGTGTGCGATGTAACTAAAGCTTATTTTTGTCTTAACGCAAACTAGTGACAGTGGATACAGAAACTAATTCAGACTTGAAACCTGCAAATGACGTGCAAACAAACCATGATACCTCTGCAACTTACAGTCTGACTCTCAGGATCCAGATTCAAGTTTTAAAAGAATCATGCTTTAGATCAGAATTACTTTTTTTATTTTAACCTACTAGAAGCAACAGTACATGGAAAAACATATTCTAGATTATCTCATGTGGCTGTCACCACACAATATGCTGTCGTTCATTAGTTAATTAAATGCTTTCTGAAGATTTCCTGACTTGATTTTTCTTACTGGACTAGTGCCTCAAATTCAGCCATATTTTACAGTATCAAATTAAAACTGTCATTCAACTTGGAATAAGATCACTACAAGTCTTTTTATAAAAACTCTCACAAGTCAGGTGATGTGAAGGCCATTTGAAATCTATCATTTGGCTCTGCTTAGGTAGAACTGCTTGCACGGAGTTGTCCCTATATCTTCTCACCATGCAAGCACCTTCACACCTACCTGATCAGCCAGAACTCGCAGCTTTTGGATAAGACACAATTAATTTTGGCAGTACCTCTTCACAGGCACACCAGTGTGCAGTGTTTGACTGTCATTCTGTATCTGTTGAAATATTAGCACTTGGTTTAGGTGGCATGCAAGAAAAAGCAAACAGTATTACGTAATAAATAAAAAAAAATACATATGCAAACATGTGAAGCGCTATTTCTAGCCTAGGCTTACTGCTTTACAAAGTTACCCAGAGCAGGGAAAAAGACATCAAACATCCACACCAAAATAGAAACTTACCCCACTGACTGATGTGGGTTGTCAAGTGTTTAACCATACACTGAACCTCACAGGACCCTCTTTCCTTCATTTGATTCAAGACTTTTATTGACAAAAATAAACATAATCCAGATAAAATAGAGCTTCCCACAAACTCAGGCAAATATACAAGATACTATGAACCCGCTTGAAAAAAAAACAATATTTGAATCACTACTGAACACTTCTGTATATGATTAGTATCTACAACACGCACAGTTTAATTTGAAGCAAGTCTGACAGTAACGCACACTGGAGATACTCTTGACGCTACTCCCTTATAGCACAGAATTAGTCACCTGATCTCAGAGTTCTGTGCCAAAACGTAGAGGCCAGTATTTCCTCAAAACAGTTGTTATATTTAATAAAGTGCTTTGCCTGCAAATTTGGCAGATCGGCTCTCCTATAAAAGACCAGCAACACTCCTTTCTTTCCTTCACATTTTCTTTTTAAGGCAAGACTCTAAAATTAGTCTGCAGCAGAAGCAAGAGTGTTCTGCATTAAAGTTTCTCAGGCTTCAGCTGTATATTATATGCAAACTCGTATTTTCCACATCGCTTTCTAGCTGCAAATAAAAAAGGTTAAAGAAATATATAAAAAAAAACCACCCTCACAAGCATTCCGTGCTGCCATTACTTCTACATGCTAAAAAGCCTGCATTACAAAACTGCCTTACACACTCTTAAGTCAAACTCCATCTTCCAGTTTACTGAAATGCACAAGGAAAGCAGAGCACACATGATACAGCCAACAAAGAAAACTTCAACGTAAATGCCTCATCAAGTAAAAGTCCTTCACTGCTGGTTGGCATATATCCAAAATGCATTCTCTAGAGGCTACAGAGTTAAGAATTACATTATATAGAATTCAACAAAGAATAAGCTTGAATTTAAGTGTAGTTACTCTTTCTAATAGCTATTTCCCCAAGTTTAAAATTATTCTTAATTCATAGTTTAATACCTGCATAACTGAAATCCCCATAAGCATTTTGCAGACTAGACCAGAGTTTACTACTGCATAATTTTTTTTTCCTCCTGCTTTTTTGCTGGACAAGCATTATATTGAGTATTACTTCATGTATATAATTTCACATGTGAACATCATGCAATTTTCTGTTCTTTTATTTCTTCAGCCCAACAGAAAAATTCTGCAGACAGAACTGCCAACTTCATGCTCTGAGTTGTGACTTACTGTAATAGTCAACTCTTCCTAGCCTGGCCAATCTTTTAATGTTCTTTTTCCAAGTCATCAGGGAATAACCATTTACTAGTCAAGTTCTTTCATTCTATTTTATAAAGTAAAGCATACGTATATATTTAAACAGCCTGCATGACAGCAGAATCATGTCTGGTACCCAATAAAATGCATTCTAATGGTAGTTGCATAGGCAACTGCAAGTTGTTGGAGAGAAGCTATAGGAAGTACTTGGGTGAACACTATGGCACACTGCAATACAGCATTAAAACATTTCTCCCCTCTATATGAATTGAATGCAGGTTTCAGAAATACAGCATATTCAAGTTTATGCTGGTCAAAAGTTTCCTTTTCCAGCAATGTATCTAATATTATAATTCGATATTTTCATTAATTATTTGTTTTCCTTTCTTGTACATTTAAAATACACAGACAAAAAAAGGGGTGCAGTAGGAAAACCCAAAAGCATGAAAAATATCAGGAGTCTCTCATTACTACAGTCAACTAATAATTTGCTTTTGTACTTAACTGCAGTTTATTACAAAAACATGCAATGAAACATCTGCATTTAACAAAACTGTATGGAAGATGCTTCCTATCTC